ACTTAGAGGAAGGGAAATCTACTTCTGTAGGCGGAAGTGTCCTGCATGAACTCTAGGAAAATGTGATTGCTCTTGGATTACACACACAAGTAATTTTTTCTCTCTCCTGTGTCAGCCTCCCATGCTTTGTCTTGCAGTGAGACGAGAAGGCAAGAAACAACACAGTGATGCATTTGGGTTTGGGAATGGTATTGGCTCTGCTGCTTTCTTGGTTTCAGATACACTAACATGTTTCTCGTAAAAGCCTTGGACCAGCCCTGGTATTACTACGGCCCTAGAAAATGTCATGGAAACAAGCAGTTCTGGTGCCTCTTTCCAGGTGAAATTGCAAAATAAATCACCAAAGCAACTGAAGAGCAGGTGTGGTTTAATTCCAAGTTTATAATACTTTACTAAGGAGCACAGAAAGCAAAGTCCATGCATGTATTTATTTTTTTTCCCAAGCCAGTGGGTCTGATTGCCCTCCTGGCAGGAGGGTTTTATTCTTTGAGAACCAGGGTTGAAACTGAAAGAGTCGGTTTAGGTACTTCCTATAATGCATTCTCAGGCACCAAAAAATCCATCATTAACTAAGCACCATAACGGCTTTCTGAGGTGGGGAAGTAGCCATATCTCTCCTCTTAAAGAATGGGGAACTTGAACAAATTGCTGGTGGAAGTCAGATGGAAATACGGTATCTCTATTAGATAGTCTTGATAGAAAATTCTCTCCCTTGATTCCTCTGCGGCCTCTCACACAGTGAGAAAGCTGGGCTAGGCTAGAGTACCCTATGGGTCCTGTCAGTTTTAGATGCCTGGCTTGGAGGAGCTCCAGCCACTAGCTCAATGGAATTGACACTAGGCCATGCAGTATCTTCAGTCAACCAATGTGGTAACCCTGTTTTCTTTGCCCCACAGAGTTTTAGCCGTGGCAATGAAGTGAGTGTGGAAGTGACAGTTCCTCATTGTACCTTGGAAGCTACGTAACGGGTGAAAAATACCCATTTGGGCTATGTGATTTCAGGTTATATTACGTGCCATTGTTGGCTAACTTTGTCACAACTGCTTGGTGGTTTTTTTGCAAGTGTCATAGGTTTGTGCCAGAACTGCCTATAAAAGCAAGTGGTTGGGGTTTTTTCCTTCGTAGGTGGTTGAAGTGGTATAGAATAACTGTCAAAAAAAACGGCAGCATGTTAGCAACATAAGAGTGGTATTTCTAAAGGGTGCCCATAGGTGCTTTCCAGCTGGTCTTCACCAGGTAGTCTTTTCCACAGGCACGGTTGGGTCGTGGTGAAGTGGGATGATGGCAGGCAGCCACATCCCTCATTCTATGCCCTGGGAGAGGAAGAAAACATGTTGGCAATACAATGCTGCATGGCCCAACAGCAGCAATCAGCAAGTATAATAGGACTAGCAGCCATTTAGCTTCAGCATAATCAGAACAGCCCTTATTAAGATCTGAGTTCGGCCAGATACCTCTAAATACAAAGCTGTTGCTAAGGTAGTACAGCTCACAGAGACAAGGAAGAGATGGTTTAGTTCTCTGACTCTGATGCCCTCCAGTGTGGGATCTGTTCCCTGTTCAGACTCCTGCAGTTTTCTTTCTCAATGCCTTCTCTAGCTGTTTTCACAATCCTTTAGATCAGGACATTGAGGACACATCTTGCTGACGTACTGTTTGCCTGGAGAACCCAGATGGGTTCATGTTGGGTTCAAGTCCAGTTCATGGTGGTTTGCATTGATCAGTGTTGACAGAGGTGCAGGCAGCTGGCTTGGGCAGAGCAGAGGAACAGCTCCTGAGGATGCAGCCCTGGAGGAAGGAAGGGAGATAAAAAAACAAATGAAAAAAAGCAAGCAAAGGATTTATGAAAATCTGTCCTGAAGTACAATGAAATTAGCAGCTGGCTTTGTCAGAGCAGCCAGGAGTGCTTTTGCAGAAGCGATCTGTCTGGGAAGAGCCAGCATGTGAACTATGGAAAGAGATAACAGTGCTGTTGGTTTTGGTTTTTATTCTTCCTTGGAGTGGAATTTTTGGATACTGTGTTTTACCACAAAAGGTTGGAAAGAGAAGATCAAAATGATGAAATGTCCTAATATAAAAGGGCAGGGAAAGCTGTTTTTCCAGCCTGACTTTGACACTGGCTCACAGTCTTGTCCTGGGCAGCTCACCGAACCTCTCTGGGCTTCTCTCTCTTCACATATAACCATTACGATGCCCATCTGCCAGGGGTAAGCATTAGGTAGACTTTACAGATTTGCAATTTTTTGTGATCCTCTTGGGGAAATGCAGGGTAATTTTATTTTTTGTCTCTTGTGCTAAGAAATGTGCCAAGAAAAGTGCTAAGAAATGTGTTGTGATGGAGAACAAGTTTAATAAAGAATGTCTGCAGCATCCTTCGCCATTCGGATGTTTGTAATGCAATGCTCGAATGAATGGATGAGACCCACAGCCAAGACTTGTGAAGCTGAGTTGCTCTGAGGTGGAGCTGCTGAGCATTGTGTGCCTGGTGTGCTCTGCTGAGCTGAGCAAACCCCAAGTGGGGATTTCTTCGAGATGTTCGTGTTCCCCAAATGTCAGGCACAGAGAGGCAGCGGAGAGGCTCTGAAAACATCTCTGCTATTTAGTGAAGTGAATAGAAATGACTGTCGAAGTATTGTCTCATTGCTCCGACTGGCTTAGCATTAAAAATCAGCACTCTTCAGGAACAGAAACAGTCCTGTGGCTTCTAAACCTCACACTTTGAGTGCAAGCTGCTTAACTTTTTGCTATTCAAGAGAACAGTGGGCAGTCACCAGCCGTCAGAGTTCCAGCAGCATCTCTGCTTCACGTTAAGCAAACCTTGCATTTTACAAACATATCAGCTGGGCATCGCTTACTGCCTGTCTGACTCCTGTCAGAGACACATTATTCCTATTCAGCCTCATCGTGTACAGCCTGCTACAGGGTACATAGTGGTTTTGCTGATAGAGCCTGGCAGGTAGCAGCATCTGACTCTGAGTCAGTCAGAGCTTTGGTTCCCCAGCAATTGAATTCCTACTACAGTGATGATATGAGTGCATCAGCCCAAGCCTTTCCCGTGCTGTTTTCAGATGAGTCTGCCCTTGGCTGGGGTTTAGTGGCTTTTTTGTCTGCTTCCCCTTCTCAGACTTTGGATAATCCAGCTCCTTGTGATTTCTTCTCTTTCTGATACTGCAAGTGCCCTCCAACGGGTTAGTCATGTCTTTTCACTAGAAAAAGTACATAGCAAGCCCACAGCTGGAATACGATTGAATTGGTGGACTGAAATAGCTCATTCTGCTCCTGGCTTTGGGGAAGTCTCTTGCAAAGTGGATGGCTGGACCAGAGAAAGAGCTTCAGAATTGTCATTCCCCTGATGTATTCAGTATTGGTCCTCTGTGTTCTTGGACTGACATATCTGGATGTAGCTGCTAATGCACATGGGTGACGATGCTCTGTTTCGGAGGGAGCACTTGTCTCACACTGGAGGGATGAGAGGGCTTGGGGGTGGAAGGATTGTGCAGACAGTGGTGCAGCATCACCAGCTGGCTTGTGGCCATGGGATAACTGAGGGTTTGGGCTGTCCTGTCAGCACCTCTGGGCAGTGACATGGGCTCAGCTACTGCTGGGTCTGTCTGAGGAAATATCTGGTGTAGGACTTCGTAAGTCTAGATGGAAGTGTGTGTGCACGTGCATTTTTTCTTGCTTTAGGTTTTTGTGTCATAGGAATATTTTATACCACTTACACCTGTACTATCAGTGCTGAGGAGCTGGTTGAGGGATTTCTCTGCATCTTTTAATCTGTAGTTTAAATCAATCCTGTATCAGGATGGAAAAGTGAAAAGTGGGTTGAATGAGGAAATTCTGCACGCTACTTGTTTGTAGCAGGCAGGTGAAGGAAAGGTTTGAATATGCCACATATGCATATTAAAAAAAGAAAAAGTTTAGCTACTTATTTGAAAGATGTTATAAAACATACACGTTTTAATTTTAAGATCCTGGCTCCTGAGAGCCAATAACAAAAAATCAAAAAGGGATGAAACTAAGAGATAAAGCGAGCACTTTTTTCAGTGTGTCTTTTGTATAATTGTATCTTAAATAAATGGAAGATGACCATCAAACTGCTCTGTTAGTACTCACAAAACTTGTACTGGACAGTTCTTGGCTTTGAAGCATTTAGGCATCAGTTACACTTGTGAGGTAAGTTGGGCACTGTGGCTGCTGCTGGCAGGGATCAGCTGTAATTGCTTTTCTGATTTGAGCAGTTAAGATTTTTCTATGCTTTTTTTTCTCTGTTTCTGGCTGTTTTGAGTTTTAAATGAAGCATGTGTATTTTGAATAGTGTTCTTCCTCAGCAGTGAATCTGCCCGTGGAGCTGATATCCAGGGAGAGCAAAGAGGCATGGGACAGCCAACCAGGCTGGAGGGGAGAGAGTGCTCAGTGGCTTTCTGAACCAGAGTGCCCTGAAATCAGTGCGAAGAACTGCAAGCGTTTCCCCTTTTTCCATGTGAAAAATATATTTGTGGCTTATGCTGATACAGCCATCTCCTTGAACCACTCTCCCTGCATGCACACACTCTGTTTTCCATTTTTTAGCAGCATCAGCAGAGGAGGGCAGATCTTACCTGCCTTTACCTTGCTCCAGAACTGCTACTTACGTAGGTTGAGCAGCATCCCTGGTGCCAGGAGCTGTGGCAGGGGCAGTTGTTTGGGAGTCCATGCAGGGACACTTTGCTCCTCAAGTCTTTGCCTGTATTGCAGCCCAGGATGCACAGCAGAAATCCTTTGCCTACCACATTGCGGTGTCAGAGTGGGGACACCTGAAGGACAGGCTGTTGGAAAAGAGCAAGAGTGGAGTGAGAAGGGAAAATCTGAAGGAAAAGGCCTCTTTTGTTCATGTCTTGAGCAATCCAGCCACACATTTGATCTGCTTGGTTTTGAAGCCGAAGCTCTTCTTTTCTTTACCCTATCTTTTTAAATACAGTGCTTTATCCCTGGTTCACAGCAATTGCTTTTTGCTGCAGGGTACCGAGAAGGATTTCTGTGGAAGAGAGGACGTGACAACGGGCAATTCTTAAGCCGAAAATTCGTGTTATCAGAGAGGGAAGGTGCACTGAAGTACTTCAACAAAAATGACGTGAGTACCTGGGGTTGCTGTCTGCAGACAGAGGATCACAACTGTAAGAGCATCTTTGAACAAGTAATTCTTAGGCTACCATTTTATTCATACAGTTCTCATAAGACCTGAGTCCCCAGTTGCTCCAGGACAAGGGCGCAGCTCACTACTCACTTTAGTAGGATTTGCTCTTGGCCTACCACAGCCGTGGTGAGACACCCAGACTGGCAATTTTACAAGTTCCTGCTCTGTTGCCCTTTAAAATCATTAAGGCTTTTCTGAAACCACCAGCAAAGGAGTTTTCCTCAGCTCTGTCTCTGCATCCTCCAGCTGACATGGGTTTCGTATTTATGGCTAGCTTGTGATGAAAGTGTCGCCACCTTGCAGTGGTAGCTGTGGTCTGAAACCTCCTTTGCATGGCATGGCAAGCAGTCCAGAGGAAAAGCTCCCTGGTTTTCTGTTCCATCATCAAGCAGTGTGGAAGCATTTGTCTTCTTCCCCAGAGCACATTTCATTTCTTATAAGTGAGAAATGGAGCTATTACCGTGAAAATTGCCTTCATGATGAATGGATAGACACTCTACTATTCTGCACCACGTAATGGAGGAAGGCAAGGTATTTTCCCTGACCTTCGGGTCTCTCCTGAACATCACCACTGAGAGCAGCCCAGACTGAGCCGCCAGCCAGTTTTCTCAAGTAGTTGATGCAGTCATAGTGTCATGATGAGCCACCGTGTGCAGAGGAGGAACATCCATCCACACTTCTCCACACTTGGCAGCCAGCTTCAATAGCACCTTCTTCTCCTTCAGCTCGGTGTGGTATGGTGCAATGGCATCTTGAGGATGTGAGACAACCAGTCATTACCAAGGGAGAAGTGAAAGTCCCATTTAGTGGCTATTGATGGCTCCAGTAGTTTAAAGCTGCTTTGCTTTGTTGTTGACCATAACCATGGTGGAAATGGCAATGTCTAGACCCATCCTCTTTGCTGGGACTTCCCCAGGGTCACCCAAAATGGTTGTTTGTCCACGGCAAGTCCCCAAGTTTCCAAAACAGTACTAATATCTCCACCAGCTCAGGGACTTCTGCGTGGTGCTGGTGACCATGGCACTACTGCACGATCTTCTCTTGTCCCCTGACTGTGCCCTAAATCTGGTGTTACAAAGAGCCTAATCTTTATTTTTTGGGATGTTTTATTCTTTCTTGCTAGTTCAATTCTCAGTGCAGTCCTGAAAAGGTGGTAAACTTCTAGAGATGTTTTGTAGGAAGACCAAGCCCACTACAAAGTTCAAGTGAACTGCCACAAAGGTGGGACTGGTGTCTGGGAGGGCCTGATCTAGGCTCAAAATTGGGCTAACCCACCCAAGAGGTGGGCTGTAGGGTATGTATGTTTGTCCTTCTGAATATGAATTTCCCAGTTTGGAGGACAAGAGGACGAGCAGAGTCAGAAGCCAATGGCTCATGTGAGAGGATAGGACTGGGGGGATGTGGGCATGATGCCCCCTGCTAGCCCAGCACCCAGGTCTGAAATTGGCAAAGGGGATAATCCTCCATCTTCTTGGGAAGGATGAACTGGCTGTGGGTGCTTGAGATGCAGAAAGCAGCCTGGCCTGTTAGTTAGCAGTCTGCATTTTTCTTTGGTCTGGCTGAATGGTTTTCTTTCTTCTTTGGTAGTGCTCATCCCAGTGTAAATGCTGGTCAGTTATCATTAGGTAAAGAGACTGGAGAGATTAGGAGTCAGAAGACAGTTGAACAGAGGCATGGTGAAGATGCTTATCTTCATAGCACAACATCCTATCATAAGAACTGGTCTGTCCATCTTGTTGCTGGGCTGAAACCTTCCTCCCCTTGAACTCTGCTGGATTTTGCAGAACAGCAGAGCATTTTTCCAGGCTGGTAGAAAGCACTTGCTGACACCCGAGCCAAGTCTTTGATATCTCATCACCAGGCAGTTTTGTAGGCTGGAAGTCTTTTTTTATTTTTTTAGCTAATGGTCTCAATCAGGAGGGTTTTTTCTGACCAAGTGAACTGCTTTCTGGTTTGAAAGCCAGTTCTCAGGTGTTTGCTCACTTAGCTGTGTTTTCCAGGCAAAAGAACCCAAAGCAATTATGAAGATCGAACATCTAAATGCAACTTTCCAGCCTGCAAAAATCGGGAACCCACACGGACTGCAGATCACTTATTTGAAGGACAATAGCACAAGGAACATCTTTGTCTATCACGAAGATGGCAAGGTGAGAGCATGGAGGTAACTAGGGTTGGGCTGTGGTCTTGGGGGTTGATGTTAAGGTCCCAGACCTCCTGGAGGAGTTTGCAGTGGATGCCATCTCACAGCCTTAATTTTCAGCTCTTTCTTCCCTCCCCCAAATATTTGGGAGTCCCCATAAAACACCATCAGCCCTGGAGTGTCCACTAAATCAGCGCCTAAAGCTGTCATGTTCACATCGTACCTACTTTCCTCTGGCTGTCATGGTGCCTTCAGCCTTTTTGTTACACACCCTTCAGTGCCCTGTCTGTCAGAGACGCTTTCTGGTGACAATCCCTCGTGGACCACAGGGCAGGGATTTGCGGGATTGTCTCAGTGCACAGCCTGTTCCCAGCTGTTCACCCAGGCATGGCGAGCCAGGCAGCCCTGCTGGGGATAAACAGTCTGTGCTCAAAGCAGTCGCTGTGCTCCAGACCGTATAGGCCAATAATGCCACCAAACCCCAAAATACTCTTCACTTGTGGATGAGCAAAGCTGATCTCCCCTGTGCTGCTGCTGAGGCTCTGATTGTGGTGGAGCTGGATGATGCCTGTTGTGCTCACAGGCTGAATGTGGTTCCTGTGTAGAGCAGGCACTCCTGGCAGGAAGCAATTAGTGCGTCCGGATGGGTTAATTAGTGGCATGGCATGGTTTTGTACATGGAGATAAATGTGCATGTAATACGCGTGTGTGTGCATGCATATATGCATCTAATAGACATACATAATAGGTGGTCAGGCTGGCTGGCCTCTCACACCCTGCAGCAACGTGGGGTCTCGCTCCGTATGTTTGCAGGTCCTGGGGAGCTGTTCTGGCAGGAAGATGTGTCTTTGTCTCTGACCATTTTAAAGGATGTTGTTGTGGTCCCTTGTTAGCACTTACCCACCACCAGATATACAGAGCTAGGCAGGGTGAACCTGAGGCACTCATTGGAGCTGGAGACCGATCCTCTGTGTGGGGTGACTCCTCTGTGCAGAATGCCTTTGTCTTGGAGGCACCTGAACTGGTGCTTCTTGCCAGGGCTGTCCCTCCTGTGGGCACAAGGCTGGAGTCAGCCTTTACCTGCACCCGCATCTGCATCTGGATGTGGGAGGAAGGAAAGCTGCAGGAGTGGGTTTCCCTGCTCTGAGCTCCTCTCCTATCCTGAAGCTCCCCCTGCAGGACCTCTAGCAGCCATGGCTGGAGCAGCTCAGATAGCTGTAGTGAGCTGCTGTGAGCCCTGGGGTTACCATCACCGATGGGATGCTCAAAGATGGGCTGAGTCTCCAGGAAAGGCCACCCTTTATGGTGCAAACCAAGATCTTTGCATGTTCTCTGGATAAATTAGCAAAATGCTCTTTCCCAGTGCTCTTCCTTTCCTGAGCCACACGAGGAGCTTTCAGGATGGGAGAAGGTGGCATGAAGGACAGAGCAGCAGCAGCAGACAGGCTCATTGCTTGAGCTCCAGGGTTGGATGAGCTGGAGGTACAGTGAGAACAAGTTGTGTTTTATCTGGGGTTGTCAGTCTGAGACTACCACAGCAATGTGGGTGGCTCTGGTACAGGATGGAGACTGGAGAGACACCAAGATGGCATGCGAAGGGGAGGTCTGTGGTGGCACTGCAAGCAGAGCAGAAGGAAGCTGAGAGCCTGGAAAAACCATTTGCAAAGGTGCAGAGCAGGAGTTTGTTTTCTCTGCTCACTGTGAGACATAACTCGGGAATCTCTGCTAAGGAGCTAATGAGACATCACCTTCCCATCTGAAAACACTGAGCAGTTTAACATCAGTTTACTACATCAGATGTGATCTCCTCACTCTATCTGTGGCATTGTTTGTAAGTATACAGGCAGAAGAATTTTAACAACTGAGCCTTCTGGCTTTGCATACCGAGGTAGAGGTTTGTATAAAGAAAGGTGGTGCTGTTGCTTCCTCCAGCAATGGATGATCAATATTCTGAGAAACAGTCATATGCTGGAAGCCACTAAGGGTTTCAGTTTCTGCTTTTCTGCAGGGTGAAACCCTATCTCTCATCACAATCAAGGAGGAGACCAGCATATATGTATGGATATAAATATATATATATATATATGCCTCTATCTTCATATCCATCCAGTTGGTGGCTGTATGAAATATCAACACCTTAATATTACAGGTTATTGCTCATTACCTCCAGCCTGGTTTGATCATCATTTACTTCAGGAGCCACTTAACTCTTGCTGACAGTCTTCGTGCAGCTCTCTGGGGTCTGCTTAGCTGCTTAGGGTAGGAAAGTAAGTGATAAGTAAGTAAAACCTCAGACAAGTAGGTCAGAGTTTTCCAAAACATTGTTCCTTTATGTCCTATTATGTTTTTTTATTTCCTTCAACTCGAAGTAGATTAACAAACCCAAGCTTTTGAACTTTTAGAGTGTAGCTGTTTGTCATGTTAGACCATTTTTGAGATGCCCCAATCATCTCTTTAAAACAGATCTCCAAAATTACACATAGGAGCCTTCCCCTTGCCCACCCTAAGGAAATTTCAGAGCATAAGAAAGTTAAAATCTTACTGAAGGCCAGCTTCTAGTTTGATATGGTCTTTCTTTTGCTGCAGCAACCTCACCTGAAAGGGTTGACTATTTGAGGATCAAGCCTGGCTCATTGAACCTGTCCCTGATGTGTGATGTGGCTGCCAGAGGTTCAGCATCCCCTCTCACTGCAGCTCAGCATCCCGGTGCAGGCAGCTGCTACATCTCCCTTCCAATGTGCCTTTCCTCTGCCCATACCTTTAAACTGCAAGGCAGTGTTTGGCAGCTCCCTGTGCAGATCACTTAGAATTAATGTGGCATTTCTCAGTGAAACCTTCAAAAAGGCATCTACTGTGGCACAAGCTCTGAGGATTTCGCCAGAGACAAATGCATCAATGAGTTTTAAAACAAAGAAGTTATAAACCAACTATTTTGTAGCAGGAGAACAAAAACAACAAACCAACAACAGAAAGCAAAAAGTTGAGAGATTGTTGCCAAGGAAAGGAAGAGAAATTGGGAAGTGAGCTGGGACTTCAATATTGCTGTGTTTGTCTTTAGAGGAATCACAGATATGACTGATAGACTGGGTTACAAAGAGAGATTTAGCCACTCTTAGTAAAAGATGGAAGTATGTTGCTAAAATTTGGGTGGATTCGGGCATTCTGTGCTTGTGGCTGCTGACGGGGTGGCGGCAACCTGCAGAGGTGTCTGGCTGCCTTTGCACTACCAGCATGAGCTGAGTAGTTTTTATAGGGTTAAGCTTCATATCTCAAATACTGATTTGTTGCTGTTTTTTCCAGTTCAGAGATGTGCTCAAATCCTTCCTACTGCAGAAAGCCCCTTGGCGCTCACTGCAGAGCTCCATGCATGTCCTGTTCTGCAGCCTGGGGCAGCAGCTGGATGTTCCCCATCCTTCACCCATTTGCTGCTCCCTTTTATGTCTCTATTCTATATTTTTTTAGGACTGCTGCCAAACTGCACTCTGTCACTTGGGACAAAGTGATGGGAGAGATGAAATGCAGCAGGACCATGTTATTTTATGTGCAGAGTATGTTACTCACTGTGCTTTTCTTTCTTGTTATTAGGAAATAGTAGACTGGTTCAACGCCATCCGCGCAGCACGGTTCCATTACTTACAAGTGGCATTCCCTGGAGCCAGTGACGTTGATGTGAGTTTTCCTGCAGTTTGGTGTTTGGGTTTTTTTTTCCCCTCTTGCTCATTTTTTAGCATTTTGTAAACAATCTGGAAGGCTCGGGGCGTGCTACGTCCTTCAGAAGATTTTACAATTACTGGGTTGAAATTCTTGCAGTGGGATGTCGAGCCCACGTGCAGCACCTGTTAGAACATCCATCCAGCCTTGGAAACCACGTGCATATGCATGCACACATGCTCAACCCTCAAAATGTGAGTCTTGCTTATGAGTAACTCCAGCGCTGTCACATGTGCAGAAGCCATGAGCATCTTTCTCAAACGTTGTTGCTATAATATTAAAAGCTGAAACAAAAGCTGTAAGGCAGAAAAGATGAAGGCAAAAGAATGCCAGTGCTGTACCCAGGCCTCTGGGATGACTTGTTGTATGCAGGTCACTGCAGCCTGTCTTATATCTCTGTCTTGTATTTTCCAGGAGCTGGAACTGCTAATTGCATTACCTTTTGCTAATATAATACTAGAGGCAGTATTAATGCAAGCTTGAGAGTGTCTTGTGTTGCAGTTGCGTTGCAGTTTGTCTGTAATGTCACTGGTGGTTGTTGTTGATTACTCTATACTTAACCAGTAATAGTTGCTGTGCAGCATATACTTTCCTTAATCATTTCTACCCCTCTCCATATCCTCTCCTTCTCCTCAAGTTGGTAGGCACATCTGAATCAAATTAACCCCCAAAATCCCTCAGACCTTAATAGAGTTGGTGAGTGTTAATATGGTCACCCCCTGGCGGTTTTGGTGGGAGATAAGCTGTTTATGGTTTTACTTATTATCCCCGTCTCATCAGTTACTCTTTGGAGTAAACAGAGCACTGTAATGTTTAGCAGTGTTTAATTTATGACCTTGGAATACTGAACAGCCCTTCACAGCATTCAGCTTGAGGAGACCTCTGTGGAGACTGGGTTATATATGTGAGGTAGCTCCATCTTGGGTGTTGCCATCATTAGCATTTGATTTATGAGTCCTTTACTCTGTCAGAGAGATGAAAAGGCGTTAAATTTAAACTGGAGCCAGGTTAAATGCAGTAGAGAGATATAAATGGCTCACACCACCCTAAGGATGCCCAGGCTGCCTCTGCAGCTCCTGGGGAGCGAAGGTCTCTGATGGATGCTTTGGAGACCCATCTGCAGGGTGGAGGAACCTCTCTTTGCTGAGGGTGATGAGCTCCTTGCTTAGCAAAACGTCCTCAGCCCTGTCCCAGGAGCCAAACACTGGGGCTATAAACACTGCAGAGCCCTTCACTGCCTACAGTGAAGTGTCTGATATGAAGATGCTCCCGGCTGCTGCGAACAGCTTTGTGATTCTTTGGGTGGATGTATTTTGGGGTGTCTTTGCCTTACAAGCGCACACCTGCTCAACCTGTTTAAATAAAAGGCAGGAGCAGGGATTGGGGAGGCATGTGGCCAGGCTCGTCGGCCCTGTTTTTGGTGACACTCATCATCTTTCAAGAGGCTTTTAAAGGCATCTGCTGAGATCTCATAGCTACTGCCTTGCCTTCACTAAGCAGTGTTAAAAATATCCCTGGCGCCAGTAGCTGTTGTCAGCAGTATCTGCAGGAATGGGGTGTGCACAGGCAGTTTTACAGGGAAATTGTACTTCAGGGCTTGTGTGAGGAGCAACCACTGCATCTGATGGAGGAGATGTATCACTAGAGCTGACCCACGAAGTGGGTTTTGGCCTGGGGGCTTCTCCTGGAGGCTGCTGGCTTTGCTGGCCAAGTGCTCAAAGATGCTTCATGTTTCTGCACCTGCCTCTTCTGAGCACTTTGGAGGGGTGGGATCGAAGTGTTCAGCCAGAGCTGATGGGTGAGCTTGGTGGGGGCTTTCCTTCCAGTGACCCACTGTCCAGCCAGGGAGCCCCCAGCTCCCTCCATCTGACACTGCTCTCTTTTCTCTCCTCTTTGGTTGCTCCAGCTGGTGCCAAAGCTTTCTAGAAACTACCTGAAGGAAGGGTACATGGAGAAAACGGGGCCAAAGGTAGGCTATAAAACGTTTCCGGGTGAGCCTTGCTCTTTATGGGGCTGAGAAGGGTCTTCTGGTGGAACAAAGGCACCCTTGTTGGAGAGGAAAGGTCTGAATGCCATGAATACACTTTCCTCACCTGGGAGCAAACATTAAAAAAATCCAAAAC